ACAGGATTGGGTAGCCGTAGACATGTCGGGGCTTCTGCTATGCATGCCTTTAGATGGTCAAAGGCTTGATCCGCTTCCGCTGTCCATACGAACGGCACGTCCTTGCGAAGCAGTTTTAACAACGGGCTGACCTTCTCTGCGAACTGGGCACAAACTTTGAATCATATGCCACCACTCCCAAGAACGAACGGAGCTGACGCTTGGATTTTGGTTTTGCGAAGCACTTGATCGTCTCGCGTTTCTCCGGAAGTGGATGGACTTGACCATTGCCCACGATGTGACCCAAGCATACAATTGACTTTTGGGCAATCTGCGACTTTTTACGACTGAGTTTCAGACCAGCTTCATCTAGCCTCTGCAGTACTGCTCCAAGTCTGGTCACATGTTCCTGTTCCGTCTCAGAGAAGACGATGATGTCATCACCGTACACAACCACGCCTTGCAAGTTCGCGAGGACCATCAGCAACAAACGCCTGAATGTAGCCGGGGCGTTGCACAATCCAAACGGCATTCTCAAAAACTCATACTGCTGGCCATTGATACTGAAAGCCGTCTTGTGGCGATCTTCTTCTGCGATCGGCAGTTGCCAATATCCCGAGCGGAGATCAATCAGAGATATCTGCTTGGCACTGTGAAGGCTTGAGAAAATTTCTTCCATCTGAGGCATCGGGAATGCATCCTTCACCGTCACCCTGTTTAGTTCTCGGAAATCGATGCAAAATCGATAGGTTCCGTCGGCCTTCTTCATCAATAGCACGGGTGATGAATACGGGCTGTGCGTTCGCCTGATGATTCCTTTCGATTCCATCTCGGTCACCTGCTTCTGTATCTCCACCAGGGTGTTCTGTGGAATTCGTCTGAAGATTGGCTTGCATTGTCCTCCTGGGATCAACGGTATTTGGTGTTCAACCCAATTGCAAAATCCGTAATCATCTTCCGCGTCTGTGAATAAGTGGGCATACCTGCTCAGTACGTTGCGTATTGCACGGTTCTGACAATCAGGCACGGCTTTGAGGGCACCAACCCGGTCGGTTCTCCCCTTGTTTATCTCGATCGTCTCGTTAGCCACGATCACCACATCGTTTTTCAGGTCAATTGTGACACCGAGCCGTTTCAGGATGTCGGTTCCGATGATGGTTTCGGTCGTCTCCTCCACGATGAACATGTCATGGCTGATGAGCGTTTCTCCTATCCTGATTCGTAACCGCTGCGTGCCCGTCACTTTCAAAGAATGCCCGCCGACCGTCTGCATCGTGATTGAAGATGGGTTTACTGGAACCCCATTGAACCTCTTCGTAATTGACACTGCCGCTCCTGTGTCTACTATGGCTCGGACAGACACACCTTCTATAGTTACCTGCAGGACTGGTACTCGCCACCGACTCGGCATGGATAGAGAGAAACAATGGGGCACATTGACGTTGGTGCAGAATCTCGCCACATGACCACTCTGGTTGCATCGGAAACAGCGGCGACCGTTCCGGCTTACCCGTACATTGCGTTGTGAAGTGGTGCTTGAAGACTCTATCGATAAGAGCTGCTCCACCATTTCGGATAGGCGATTTACTTTCTGTTCCAACTCAGCATGCTGGATGCTTCTCACTGTCACTCGTTCCGACAAATTCTGGGCGACCGTCACCAGATCCAACGCTTTGCTGTCTCCCACCAGCGACGCCAATTTCACCTGATCATGGAGGGGACCGGGCAGACTTCGGATAAACTGCTGTTTCAGTAGGCGCTCTCTTGCTTTGCCCTCTAACTCGGGGAGCCCAATCGTTAGATGTCTGTCCAGCTGCTGGAAAAACACCATCAAATCCTCCTCTTCGTCCCACCTGGCTGCGTGAAATCGTTGCAGTGCTCGTTCTCTCTCCAGATCCTTCCCAAATTCTGCACACAAGGCAGCCCTCATCTCAGCGAACGAACAACCGGGTTTGGCCTTTCGTGTGAGCAAATACACCGCCTTGGCTCGTCCGCTCAACCGTGTGCCCAAAGCAATTAGCAAATTTGCATCCCCCCTCACACCCGTGCAAGCCGCAATTCCGTCGAACTCATCGAGCCACGCCTCCACGTCACCGGCCGCCAATTGCTCCAACCGGGTCAACTCCATCGCTAGCTGTCCTTCTCGATCCGCTCTCAGCTAGCTCCGAAGAGCTCCCCCGAAGCATTCTTGGAAGCGGCCCCTCTACAATACGAGTTAAAGCATGAGTGAGGGATTACTGATTGATCAGTGCGAAAAAAACAATGTGAATACCGTGTGGATGAACCAGCTAATCAATACCATTGACGGATGTAAAAGGGATGCTGCTGCTGCTGCTGCTGCTGCTGCTGCTGATGATGATGATGATGATGATGATGATGATGATGATGATGATGATGATGATGATGATGATGATGATGATGATGATGATGATGATGATGATGATGATGATGATGATGATGATGATGATGATGATGATGATGATGATGATGATGATGATGATGATGATGATGATGATGATGATGATGATGATGATGATGATGATGATGATGATGATGATGATGATGGTAATGATGATGAGGAGGAGGATGAAGATGATGATGATGATGACGACGACGACGACGATGATGATGAGGATGATGCAGATGATGATGCAGATGATGATGATGAGGATGATGCAGATGATGATGCAGATGATGATGATGATGATGATGAGGATGAGGATGATGATGATGATGAGGATGATGATGATGATGATGATGATGATGATGATGATGATGATGATGATGATGATGATGAGGATGATGATGTTGTTGTTGTTGATGATGATGATGATGATGATGATGATGATGATGAGGAGGAGGAGGAGGAGGATGATGCTGATGATGATGATGATGATGAGGATGAGGAGGAGGAGGAGGAGGAGGAGGAGGAGGACGAGGACCACGATGATTATTGTCGGGATGAGTGGTATGATGCTAATTATGATAATGATTATGATGAGGAGAATTATGAAGATTGATCAATTCGGTTAATGTGTAGTTAGCTTTTGCTGAAAGTTTTCTGATGGCTGTTAAAGTGTGTTTAAGGTATGTTGTCATCAGCATGGTAGAATTTGCGGTTAAGATCTCGCCAGGTTATTCGTAAAGTCGTTTATTAAATATCACGCTTTTCTCAAGAAATTGAAATACTATTGCTTGCTACGTAAAACCTGCTGTTGGACAAAAGCAAGTCGTTGAACGGATCGTCGAGTAAATTTTCTACAGCTCGTTCGGTGCATTGTAACTAAAATGGAAAGAGCGTTCGATGCCTCCAACTCACGTAGTCAATGGAACCACGTCAGTAGTGCGTGCCCACTTTTTACCTGCCAAACTCGGATTGGTGTTGCGTTTCTCTTAAAGTTGATCACATAAGCATTCGTGGTTCTTCACTATATCCACTGACGCTAAGAATTTATTTCGCAACTGTTGATGCATTCCTTTTTATTATCTTGTAGCTATCTTACTAACCTAGAATCGATCGGTCTCCATCAATAAGTCTTGGGATATACAGCATTGCTACAGAATAAATTCGGAGAGATGCATCGAAACACCACACGCAGACGTCGCTAGTGGAGGAGATGTCCAACACATTCAGCAGCAAGATGCGAGGTTCCGTACATATGTTTGGCTTCTCATGACTAATGTTGGTTTCATGCGATGGTGAAAGATTTATGCTTTGATGCTTCGGAGACTAGTAATGTGGTTTTCAACCATTTCTGCCAGACTGTATCTAGGGTGCACTCAGTCATGTATGTCCAACTGGCACGCTAAAACACACCACAAATGGCTACGATCACAGAATCGTAAGGTTTGATTTCATTCGCTACCACGGATATCCTGCTGCAGAGCCCCAGAAAATACAACGTATTTCTCATTATCTGGTTCTGTCCGCATGAGGATCAAAAATCATCCAACATCCTATGAAACCAACATTATTCATAAGAAGCCAAACATGAAGATTTATAGCCTTGGGGGAACACATGGCGCATTTACGTAAACAATTCTGACGCGGAGAACGAGAACGCATACTTAGCTCTGAGCAAGTAATATGTACAGTTGGTTGGTGAAAACAAGTTATCACACGGAGTGGACATGGCGAAACAATTTTTTGCGAACCATAGCCTTATTTACCGACACATGAATGCACTTCGAAAGCTACAGCTTGGAATCGCACCACTCAGTACAACCAACACCACTCAGTACAACAAAGAGGCGGACAACCCCCATTGCCAGTACTGGCCTACTTTCCAAAGCGTACTAGCCTTAAACCTTATATTTGCTTCTGTCCACACACCATCAGGGGTATCCAGCATCAATTGCATAGAAAAAGTGGTTCTGAGAAAGCTACTATCCTTGCATACACACAGCTTCCCTGGAGTGGATAACCTTCAATCTGAAGCACTACAGGTAGCAGCCATTCACCTAGCCCAGCCACTTGCCGGATTCTTTCAAAGAAGTCTGTCTGATCCTACCAATTACCGTCCGGTAACACTTCTCTCTGCCCTTTCTAAAGTCATGGAAGCGATCATCGCTGACGTAATGATGGGCTACATGGAAAACGTAGGTAATGCATTATTAGGATGGGTTGGTAATTTTCTCCGTGAACAGTATTTCTAGGTTAGAGTCCGAACATCTCTGCCCGACTCTAAGCTAGTGGAGTGCGACGATTTTGTGAGAGCCATCACCACAAAAATTTTACTTTTCCGGATGACGTTAACAGTTGGCCGGCGGTCAAGAGAATGGACGACTACGACATCCTCCATGTGCGACCTAGATTCGACCTGGCATTGACCGGTGAGGAATTCACTGTCATTAAATGTGGTCAAGTGACGCATTGTCGACACAAGCCAAAGACACGCCTATCCCTAGAAAATTGGGGCATATGACCTGCAGACAAAGCCTCAGGAACTTGACCTCAGTGTGCTGGTGCGGGATGACTTCACTTATTCCAGACAGTCGGAATCCGTTTCAAAAATGGTAACCAGCATGTTGTTAGCTTGCGGATGGCATTCGAAAGTTTTGTTTCATTCATCTTCTCTACGATGCTCCATGCCTACGTGCGTTAACAAGTCGAATACGCAATCCAGGCTTGACACGCTTGGGGAAACCGTGACCTTGCAACGCTCGAAGCTCACCATGGTCGAACAACAAAATATGTCAAGGGATTGTGCAAGCTTTCGCACCAGCAGCGACGAAAAGCACTCGGATTTTTCAGAAGACGCTACAGGTGGCTACTTGGAGACGTCATATTAGTCTACCAGATACGGAACGACTCCACGTACACATGTTGCCACCTACTGCAACCCATCATGAACACCAACTTCATAGGCAATAGCCTGAAACTGAGTCAACAACACAGTCGGCTTTTTATTAAGGCTGGACAAACCTCAGCTCATAGCGACTCAGTGATTCCGCCATAAGTAGCCATCAAACGTTTCACTGCCTATGTTGTTCATGTGCTCAATGACAGCCTGGACGTTAAGAATTCTTTTCGACCGGACGCATCATTAGCACCGTATGTCAACGGACGAGTTTAGTCGTTAACACGTTTGTGAAAGAGGATAGGTATATTAACAGAAATGTATTAAAACGATCATCTATGCTATTAAAGGACATGTTCAAAAGGTCCGTCGACATTATTCTTTCAGTGCAGAAACCGCTTGGTGCAATTGGCGAGCACTTTATCCAATGTATCCCTCGTGACCGCGCGACATTCGATCACAATATTTTCTTTCAATTGCTGCAATGTACGCGGCCTTGTTTTGTACACTCGCCGCTTCAGATAGCGCCATAGAAAAAAGTCCATGGAGTTCAAATCTGATGAGCGAGCAGGCCACTCCATTGGTCCACCGCGTCCGATCTATTGGTGGCCAAATCTGTCGGTGAGGTAAGCACACACTGTTTTAGCAGAATGTACAGGTGCACCAGCCTGCTGCCAACAAATGGTACTGCATGCTCCTTCGGCCTCCAACTGGAGAAGCACAAATCTCTGCAGCATTTCCAAATACGACGATGTTAGGAAAAGATAATGCTTTAGTACTTCAAAACAACAGTCTACCGGTCACATTCCCGGAAAAGAAATATGGGCCCAAGATCTTCTGGCTTGTTAATCCGGCTCAAACCGTCAGCATCACACTGTGGTGCATACGTGATGCGGTAAATTTTCGTGGGTTGCTAGTAGCTCAAGAGTAATGTTTCATTGTTCCATGCAACTGAAAAAAGGCCTCATCTGTAAAGATAACAGAACGATTATCACCGTGATCCAGAAACTAGCGGCAAAATGCATGCCGCTTCTCCGGATCGCATGGGTTCAAAACCTGCACTTGAAGTGCGCGAAATCTTCCAAACGTTCGTTCCTGTAATATCCGGTGTATCGCATATCGGATCGTATCACAGTGCTTTGCGATCCGAGGAATGCTGAGATCGGAACTTTTTGACACTTCACTGACTACAGCGCAAACTGAACAGTCGTCCGTAGTGATGCGAGGCGGCCTGGTTCTCTTAATGTCACACACACACACACACACCCAGTTTGCTCGAACTTCTTCATTAGTTTAAGCACGTACCGCGCGGTGAGTGGACGCATTCCTGCGTTCATTGCATTGTATTTTCTTGAAGCTGATGAGGCGTTGAAATCGCATTCACCGTACAGCCGAATAATCAGCGCGCGCTGAGAAACAGGCACGTTACGCGATCCCGACTGCATTGTCTGCTCGTGCTCCATTACTTGTGATTCAATAACATTGACAAGAATTGCAATGTCTAACCTTGTCCTCAGCTGCGTTGCCATCACGTGCGTACATTCACGCCGCAGTTTTGGTTGCCTAGACCAAATTCGCTGCGTAGCCAGCGAGCCACACACAGCTAACCATCGATCGCTCCAATATCTACGGTTGACCACGACCTTCATCACACAGCGCGAAGTTAGTTGACAGCTAAAGAACGCCGGAAACACGTTGTGGCTGCCGTACTCATCTCGCTCATGATCAAAACAGCCTCATGTCGGTGGGTCTTTTGAGGTTAGGCTTGTTCTCAGCTGAGCCCTGCACTAAATCCCCCGTCTGCCGAGAATCCCATACGTCTGCATCACTACGTTGAGAGAGCAATTCATTTCTCTGCACGCGCAGTAGCATGTTAGGAATTTCGCTAAAGCTTGGGTGATTATTGGATGTTGGGTCCAACAACCGTAAATGACCGGCGTTCACCATAAGCGAGCCACGGTAGTGAAATGAACGCTAATCGGCCTTCTTCCGTCAGACTAACCGTAATTATCCGGCCCATCGTGAAAAGCAATTTGGTGACCCCTATCCTACACCAGTGCTATCGGAACACCGGACTCCTTTAGGACAACCAATTTACTCTTATCTCAGGATATGTTAATCCATTAACCCTTCCGTAACCTGTAGACCAAGAAGAAAACATTGACCAACTACAACGTATTGAAAATGCTTGGAATCGTCGCGAATTCTTGATTTCAAAAGGACATGAAAACAGCTGTGTGATTTAGTTCATGTGCCGCGTTTCACTTTGGCCAATATCTTCATCAGATGGAGTGAACTAGTGGGTGATTAGTATAGCAGTTATAGCGTACTGGGAAGATAATCGTGACTGGGATATAGGTGGAAGGTTAATCGCTTTATAGATCACCGTGTGCATGGAACCGTCCCAAATGGTCCGCGTTACAAGGTCACGCACCTAAACTCCTGTCATCGATGGGCGTGGGTGTTGATTTGCTATTAACTCTCTTTCCCGGATCCGTCTGCCGAAGCTTCTCAGATTGCTCAGGTTAAAACAGCCCTTCAGAAGTTCGAAAGCTCCACTCCGTCCATTCTGTTCAAGCAGCTGTTTATTTTGCAAATGTCGATTGCCTCAGGATTCAGCCTTTGGAGTGTCGATCGCAACCCCAAGTAAATCTCATGATCTGTGCTTATCACAGGCATCGCCACTGCCGAAGCCGTTGTATACAAGCCCTGTATCCAAA